AGAAATTATGTGTTTTAATCTATGCCAAAATGCTATTTGCAACCAACGCTCACATTCCAGAAGTGTTAAAAAAATCATTTTGCCTTCTAAATTACTCATGAGCATTTAGTGCTCAAAGTAAGATACAAATGAACACGGCATAGTTTTAGCTTCCCTTATTTTTCTTCCTTTAACACAGATGCACATGCGTGTGTATGCACACACACACACATTTATATGTACATAAATAAACTGCAGAGGTTGGACTTTAGAAAATATCATTTACAAACACTTCTATAAGTCTAGAAAATAGATTGGTCACTGTTAAAAAATATTTAATCAATTATAATAGTCCAGTTACTGGAAACAATAGTTTCTCATATTCACTTTCCACTTTTTCAGATTTGGTGTCTGGGAAATGAAACACGATTCCATATCAACAAAACCGTAGATGCAGCCATTCGGTCTGTGATAATTGGTGGATTATTCCCAGGTATTCAATACCGGGTAGAGGTTGCAGCTAGTACCAGTGCAGGAGTTGGAGTAAAAAGTGAGCCACAGCCAATAATAATTGGTGAGTATCAGTCTATGTGATCTCTGCTTTACAATCAGTCAACTGACAACAAGGTAGGTTATGAGTTTGAATCTACGTCCTAATAGTGAATCTGCACTTATGAGTGATAGGGTGCACACATAATATGGGCAAAGGGGTCAACTGACTACGGTTTCTCACAAAAATGCTTGGCGCAATTGTCTGTGCCCTTAAGAGTCACACAATCTTTTTTAAATTACTATCTCTAAGAGTTTAAATTCTGAAAGGTGGTTTGAAAATTATTCTTAATCAATGGCTTCATTAGCAATTTTGGTGCCATTGAAATATAGTAGAAAATGAGACAGTTATTGAAGAGAGTGCATTATGTTTCAAATCTCTATGCTTCCTCTTAGCCAGAGAAATGTCAAAAATTAATCAGACACAGACCAAAATAAATTTCATGATCCAAATATACAACCCCAAAGAAGAAAGTCATGTTAAATCTACTATTGTCATTTCATAAAACTGTTCCCTCTCATCACAGATTTGCCTGTTTGCCTGTTCTTGAAATGTATGTAAATGGAATCATATAGAATATAATATTTTGTGTCTGGTATTTTCCACTAAACATAATGTTTTTGAGATTGACCCATGTACGTATTGTGTAGTTCATATGTTTCATTGCTGAGCGGTATTCAATTGTATGAATATGCCATATTTTCTTTATCCACCTTTCACTTAAGAGAATGAAGATTCTTGTGCAAGTGTTTTTGAGGACACATGTTTTTATTTCTTTTGGAGAAATACTTAGAAGTAAAATTTCTGGGTAAAGCGTTGTATAGTTGGACTTTGTAAGAAACTGCTATACAATGTTCAGATTGTATAATTTTATACTCCCACACCAGCAAAGAAAATGACTTCCAGTTTTTCTACATTGTCACCAACATCTGATGTTGCCAGTCTTCGTAATTTTAGCCGTTCTAGTGGGTGTAAAATAGTACCTCATTATGATTTTAACTGGAATTTTCATTCATAACTAATGGTGTTGAGCAACTTTGCTTGTGCTTATTGGCCATTCACATACTTTCTTTTGTGAATTGACCATATATATATTTGCCCTTTTAAAATTGGGTTGTCTCTTTGTTACTGATTAATAGGAGTTTTTTATACATTCTAGATACAAGTTCTTTGCCATATA